GAAAGTCCACCGGAGTAGGGATCTTAGATGCTGGTTTCGTCTGCTACTTTTTTGCTTCAAAGCGTTTCTTGTGCACGGGGCAATCCCTGTAGGAACTTACATGCGGCAGTGAACAGAAAATGCACTATGGTTTTTCATCAAGCTTTAATGGGCATTTCTTAATCCTATGTTGCTGTCCACACTTACAGCATCATTCAGGGTTTGAGCAGAGATGCTGCGAATGTCCGTACTCTTGACATCTGTAGCACTGGATCACTTGTCTTTTGGGGGCAAACTTCTCAATCTTGACATTAACACTTAGCATGTTATTAATTCCATGGATAGCATATTCTTCCTTCGTTTTCTTCAACTCCAATAGGAATATCGGAAGTTTCTCGATGACATCCCCTCTATGTCTGGTACACTGCTTAACTTTACTTACCAGGAATTTCCTTTTCTCCAGGTCTGCCTGTATTATTTCCTCCTTCATTGTCGATGGGAGGCCCTTAAGAACAACCTTAGTAGGCTTTTTACTGAGCAACTGAAATGGTATACTTCTTTTCTGTAACCATCTACTGACTTTAAATTAACATACAGCAATTTCATCTTCATATCGGCGTCAAATTCCTCATTGCAGGTGTTGATAAGAATTTCATGAATTCTCGGCCAATCCACTTCGCTCTACTGAAAAACTATTGGGGGTGGAATTTCCTCTTTATCAGCTCCTCCTTCTTCTTCCATATTTTCCACTTCATTTATAAGGTTTTTCTTCCACTTCCCTAGCGTGCCTTCGTGGTGTAGTGGTTCTGCACACTGAGCAGGTATTTCAGAGATCCGTGGTTCGATTCTTGGTGAAGGCGGTTGCATATTTTTCATCTTTTCTGCTTCCAATTAACCTAATGGCTCTACACACTCAGCAGTTCGAACTGATTTTCTTTCATAACTTCCATTGGAGTTTCATTTTCTGTTGCTCTCGTGGTTTTCTTAGGAGAAATCCATTCTTGTTTCTTGCGCTCTGTTCTGCTTTCAGTTATCTTCTCTGGACCAAATTTTTTCGTGAATGATTCCACATCCATATCACCCTTAGCTCTCTGATGAAAGTAATTGTAAATAGCGTCAAATCCAAATTTCGCGATCTGGTCCCGGATTTCTTCTTCAGAACATGTCTTGAATTTTGGGGTGTCCTTAGCTTTCTCCATTACTGAAATTTCTGGCACCTGTTCATCATTAACTTCTCCTTTGGGTGTTTGACTAGCTCTTTGCAAGGCTTAACATCTTTCTTCTTACTTGGTTGTCCGTTTTCCGTACCTGACATAGTTTTCGCCTTTTTCGCTTTACTTTTCTTTAGCCGTATGGATGCAATCCTCTTTCTTCAATGGATAGGTCTTGTTGGATTTCAACAAAAGCTCGCTTCGGTAGTCCTCTTCACCAGAACTATCGAGTGGTGTCCTAAAAAAGGACAGTTTACCCGAAGGTAACTAATCAATCGAAGATAAAATCACCGACCGCCTACGGGACTGGGTCAGTATCCAAAAATCTTAATCGTAACCACAGCACAATCTACTAGCTTGGAGTCACAGCTCAGAATTCTGGAAAATATCATTTGCTTTTTGTAATTCTTTTTATTAGCTTGTTCAATGAAAATTTTGTTGCTTGGCTGCTAATTGAGCGGTTAATTTTGAAATAAAATAAAAGATGGAATTAAAAGAAAATAAGTTTCGTTATTTCGTAGCTACAGTCCATAACACTATGTTTTAATAATAATGTCATAATAGGCCATTTTGTCTCCACGAAGTAAAGACATGTTTCTTTTCTTTTTATTTACTGAACACTTTTTCCAACAATCTGCTAGCCGAATTACACTTATGCTAGAAATTTTATGGAACGAAACTGCTTAATCATGACAAATATTAACTGCAAAATTGGGAAAAAGTGCAGAATCGCAAACTCCTTGCCACGTTTTTCAAAATCGCACATACACAGTAACCATGTACACTTCGACATATTTTTACTTAAAAAAAATCCCAGAATTGCACAAAAATGGCATTGCGCACACTCTTGACTTTATCCATGTACACTGCTTTTTCTCATAAATTAGAAATGTGGCACGAAAAAGGAGAAACATTTTGTGAATCTTTAAACTCGGTAAAAAGCACATATATGAATTTACCTGGTCGCGAAAAAGTATATACCCTTTCCAAGGATGAACATTTCCACGTATAAAATAAATAAAATATCCAAACACTTTTCCCTCTAAATTATCTATTACAAACGTCACCAATGAATTTAAAACACAAACATTAAAAATGGTTGCAAATACTTAGTGTCAAATATTTAAATTATTTCCATGCACGTTTACTTCTACTGAAACATATTCCAAATTGCTACAAACATATAATTCACAATATAACTATCATTTAATTAAAATATAATTAAACCATGTACACGTCGACTTATTTTTACTTAAAAAAAATATTGCAGAATTGCACAAAAATGGCATTGCGCACACTCTTCACTACATCCATGTACACTGCTTTTTTCTCATAAAGTAGAAAAATTTCACGAAATTGCAGGAAAATTTTGTGAATCTTTAAATTCGGGAAAAAGGACATATATGAAATTACCTGATCGCAAAAAAGTATATACCCTTTCCAAGGATGAACATTTGCACGTATAAAATAAATAAAATATTCAAAAAATTTTCCCTCTAAATTATCTATTATAAACGTCACCTGCAAATTTATAACAAAAATATTAAAAATGGTTCCAAATAATTTGTGTCAAATATTTAAATTCTTTCCATGCACGTTTACTTCCACTGAAACGTATACCAAAATACTACAAACATATAACTCACAAAATCACGATCATTAAATTAAAATATAATTAAATTAAAAAACACTACTTAAAATATAAATAAGCACATACATTAAATTAATAAAAATTAGCTTACAATCCTAATTACTTTAAACTAAATCATTGCTAATAACAATTTGATCGCCTGATTAACTGATCGCCCATTATATTGATGTTAAATGACTTTTCTAAAAGCTTCAGGATTAACTTTTATTGCAAACTATTCTTCAAAATCTCCTGAACTTTTACAGTACTAATTTTTAGGTATTCTTTGATTTTTTGTACAAGAAATCTCGGTTAAAATACATCTACGAGTGCCCCTTCGCGAAAATTGGCGGTACATGGATACCAAGTTTGTGCAATTCTTCGACTTGTTATTTTGGCTTTGTGTAGAGGTGATGTTTGACCCAAAAGATCGCCGTTACACAAAGATAAAAAAACAAGTCAAAGAATTGCATGAACTCGGTATCCATGTACACATCGACTTATTTTCACTTAAAAAAATGTCAGCGAATTGCACAAACTTGGCATTGCGCACTCCCTTTGTCTACGCACACATTGATCTATTTTCACTTAAAAAGTCAAAGGAGCAGCCAACAAAAAAATATATAATCTGAATAAACTATATTTCGAAACAAATAACACAAAAAAAGAAATTCATGTTAGTACTACACAAAGGAAATATCCACTTACCTTATTTAGAAATTTGCTTGTCTTTAGTCACACAAAATTCCTTAACAGCATTAAAAAACTTCCTAAAATTATCTGAAATAAAATCTATACTGGTGTCGGTTGTGCCACCAAAAATCGTCAAGGGGCACCCGTAAATATATTTTTACCCTGAAATTTTGTATAAATACTTGGGTGGGCACATAAATTTTCTTGACATCACGACTTGCCACATTAAGTGGCGTTATGGTGCACTGCCTCATCAATATCTTTTCCATGGTTCTGGTAGGGCTGTGGATAATCAAATAGTACCAGCAGACATACCTCTTAAAATATTAAATAACCTTCACAAATGCTTAACTTCAAACTATGGGAGAAGGTGAGGAAAATGTTATTATGCTCATCTTTTTTTTGAAATTAGATACACATTTTAAAATTTGCTGTTACATTTTGAGTGATTATGAATATGATGGCAAATTTTACACTGCTCGTGCATTAGAAACTAGTGTTAATTAAGCTCATGCTGCTCTGATTGACATAGTGGTTATCGGTTCTAGCTGCTGTATCATTCAAACCAAGTTCGAAAACCAAATAAGGCTTGGATGTGTAACATCTGTGCATATTGGTGGAATTAAAATGCCAGGAAGTTAAAAGTCTTCTTGAAAGGTTGGGTGTTAGGGAAAGAGGGATACAAAATTCTTACATACATACCCCATGATTTTCTGCATCAAACTTGGAGCTTCTACACTTTTAAGGGTGTAAAATCTGTTGCCCTTTGTAGTATGTGTCAGCCAAGTGAATGGTGGGTTCAGCCTCTCCTGGTGAATGATTAACTAACAATAATTAAAAGTTAGGCATCACATGAATACTTCAGTGACTGGCCTGAACTAGAGCAGTTTGAACAATGCATGGCTTCATTTGATGAACATTACTATGCCACGCTGCTCCATAACATAAGTTTTAATAACATCACCTCAAAATATAAGACTGTTAACAAGGGTTTAAAAAAAATTAACCCACATATAAAAACTAAAAAGTTTACAATACAATCAAATAATACTAGCAGTTATTATTATTATTTACATAATAAGTACTAGCAGTTAGGTTAATATATGCAAAAGCATTCTTTTGCAATAAATACCGAAATGTAACTTATACTCCCTGAATATACAGTCAACCTTGAATTTATTATTTTAATCTGCAAAATAAATATTTATTCTCCTGAAATTTTTATGCTTCATTTTAAATTTATCATAGATCACACGATTAAAAGAGATTATATTTATTAAGATAAACAGAAATTCAGATTTTCACAAACTGGTGACAAAAACAAAATGGCACATACCACAATTGAGTAAAACAAAATTTTTGATGTTTCGAAAATTATTTCGAATGCCGTTACAAGGTTTAGTTTGAAAATTAAATTAGTCCACAATGAAATGTCTGCATTAAAAGCATAAAAATGAGATGATTACCAGTCACAACGTATCGATGACTCAATAACGACGACGTGAGAAAGAAGATCTCCCTCCACGTCTTGGCGGAGGGCGGCTAGCTTGCCTAGCCAGATAAGAAACAGTTTCTTTCGCTTCATCTGGTAAATTAACGTAGCGTATTCTGCAGCCTTTAATATACACATTGATCATCTCGACGGTCTTTCCAGAACACAAAGTTACTGTCACATTTGAGAGGCTAAGATTCATATTATCCTCAGCCTCCAACAATGTACCAACAAACATTTCATTGTTGTTGGTTGATACTCTAACTTTTTTGCCATGGAACTTTTGCAAAAGTAACACTGGTACGCCAACACTGGGACGAGCCATTCTTTCAAATGAAATGTTTACAAATAACTACAAATGACGCTCAGTTGTGATCAGCTAACTTAGCACCCGTTCGCCGGTAAAAACAAAATGCACAGGTGTCTTGTTTTCAGAGCTGTTGCAAACCGCATGTATTCGTTACCGAGTAACGGGTACAACAGTTGACTCGAAGTACCGACTCGGTACTCACAAATTCATTTCGTTACTCGCATCTGTCGTACGATGCGGTTTATTCGAGTACGAATGATGCGGTTTCTATGCGAATACGAATGATGCGGTTGCTGTTCGAATACGAATGATACATTTGCTAACAATACCCGTGTGCCACATTTTTCATTGATAATTTCGAATTTTTTTGGTTAACTCATCGGGCAAACTCTTGTTTACATTATGTGTTTTAGTTGAAATATTGTTTAGTTGTTGATATTTAAGAAAATGATCAATTTTGATAGCGTGAAGCGTTATTTTGTATTTGCTTTTTACATTTAGATTTATAGTGCATTATGTTTGTAATTTGAAAATTTAGATGATTATTGATTTTTTTTCTTGAGCGTGCCATAGTGAGATTTTATTGATTTGAAATATTTATATACTGCACTTAGGTATTGTTTATATAAGAATATGTAGGTTAATATAGGTTCTTTACTTCCTTGTACGAAATAAAAAGGAAGTAAGTATTGTAATCGAGAAAAATTTTTGGGTATCATATTTCAACGGAAATATCCATTTTTGACGATTACGGAATCCATGTGAATTATTTTTTTGGGTGACGTCTGTACGTACAAACACATTTTTTTTCCCCCAGAAACGGATTGTTAAATGTAATCCCATTTACTCTAAGCTGATACTTATGACTAATGATTATGACTCTAAGTTGATACTTGAAAGGGATTTTTCGTGATGTGTAAGTACGTATATATGCATTTCGCATAACTCAAAAACGATTAGAAATTTTGTATATGGGCCCATTATAACATCTAGATGTGCACCTCCCTTTTTATTGCAATCGGTAATACTACAAAACGTAAATATGTATATTTTAAATAAATTATAATTAAATGTAAAGTACATATATATATATCCTTATAATTAAATGTAAAGTACACACACATTTATATATATAAATATAAAATAAAAGCCAAGTAAGGCAAAATAAAAGCCTTGGTTTTTATTTTATTTATTTATCACTAAGTAAGTTACTTGGCTTTTATTTTCGCAATCGTTGGTTGTAGTCAGGACTTAATTTTTAAAATTAGAAGTGCTGGAGCTCTATGGAAGGCCATCAGGAAAGATGAATAAAAAATAAATAAATATAAATAAAAAACAATAAAATAACTAATGCAATAATAAAATAATTAACAACTAGAATATTAAATGATTATTATTATAATTCAATAAAAATGTAAAGACAAATGAAAATTTAATTAATTCTTAAATTAATGATGAACAACTAAGTAATGAAATAAAATACCAGACATCGTCTGGTTTGGGGGCTGTGGCTGAAATTGCAATTTAAGAACCAAGCCAAGCATTAGCTAAATTTAGGCCCTTGATGAGCAAATAATGTACTGTTTACCAGAGTATAGATAGAAATTTGGTTATGTAGCCTATTCTTCTAAAACGATGTTTCGTCGCTGCCTTCCCCCACCAATTCCCTTTTTTTTCGGTTTCGGATTATTTGGTTACGGCAATGCACACTAGGGCTATTGCCTAAGGGAGGGATGCCTTCGTGGAGGACTTTTTAAAAACTGGCTCATATGCAAGTTACACATGGGGAAAACCCGAAAACGCCCGTGTGCAGCCAGCCGTTAGCCGGGAATTGAACCCTGGACGAACTATTAGTCTTCAGCGACTTTACCGCTCGAGCGCTGGTGGGCTCTTTTTTCGTTTCTTCGCTGTTTGAAAAATAGGTGTTCACTTTACGATAAAGCAAGCACCTGTTTTCTTCAATTAAAACAGGTTAGACGACATGACTCTTACTACTTTCATTCTCACTTAGCTTTTGATTTCTAATATTGATTCAATATTTTCTGTAGACATTCTGATTAGAATAATGGATTTCAAACATGTGCAAAAGGCGTGTATCTGAATATAATTAGGTTTTTATAACATAGGGCCCATTTTATTAATTTCTAAAGCAATTAGAACCACATTATCGCTGTTTTGAAAGAAAGCAAAAATGTGACAAATGTATAATGAACATTAATATACATGCTTTACTAGAAATTCACCCTTTCGTCATTAGCGGTTCTGATGAAAGGAATGGGGAGCAGCAGCAAACGAAATAACGAATAACGGACAAATAACGAAATCTAATCTTTAATGCGGTCTCCCAGTTTCTTTAGCCCACCAGCGGCAGAGCGGTAACGTCGTTGAACACTGGTAGTTCGGTCTGAGGTTCGAATCCCGCGAACGGGTTGGCTGCATGGGTGTTTTCGTGGTTTTCGCCATGTGTAACGTGTATACGAGCCATTTCCCTTAGAAAGTCCTCCACGAAGGCATCCCTCCCTTTAGGCAGATAGCCCTAGTGTGCTTTGCCATAATTAAATACACCAACACCAATCCAGTTTATTTATTTGTATTTGGGAAAGTTTTATTGTCACTATGAAAAGTGAAATTTGATATGGATACCGCATAACTTTTTAAATTATGCTTATTTTTGCTGCACTTCATTTAAACGTATTTCCTCGAATTATTCTAACTTAATTAAGCGATACCCGAAGGCAACTTACAAATGGCATCAAACACTGCAAATTTTGAAATTAAATTTCCCGGTCAATCTCTGCCTACGGGACTCAAACTTCTTGTATTTTTATTTTTTCATAACGAGTATAAAACTTTGCCAGCTATAAATATAGGAACAAGAAGACAACATTAAAAGTTAGATTTCATAATTTGTCCAAAATTAATTCTTTTTAAAATTTGACATTGACAAAATATGAATATTTTCGTCATTTAAAATACTTCTGTATTTTTGTTGCACCGTATTTAAACTTGCTTCCTCGAGTTATTGACATTAAATTACATTAATTCCATTATCTATTAGAAAATAATTATAGCAAATCATCTAATTACGACATCTCTAAGAGGTCACTTTCTAAGAAATCTGTATTTTTGAGAACATAAACAAACATTGGTAGTGAACATCACCTTTTTAAGACCACGAAATATTATATTCAGATACAACACCTTCTGAACACGTCTGAAATTCATTCTTCTGCTCAGCATAATTTCGTCTGCATAAAATAATAAATAGTATTAGAAATCAAAAGCTAAGTCGAAGTAGAAACAGTCATCTCTTCTAAACCATTTTAATTGAAGTAAACAGACGTTCGCCTTATCGTAAAGTAAACACCTATTTTTCAAACAGCGGATAAAACGGGAAAGAGGGAATTGGTGGGGGAAGGCAGCGAACGAAATGACACTTTTTCGAGCTGGGATGAAATGAGAAAGGACGAAACGAAAAAAGTACTAAGCCAATAAGACAAGATCTGGTATTTTACTTTATAATTTAATTATTCATCATAAATTTAAGAATTATTTTAATTTTTATTTGTCTTTACATTTTTATTAAATTTTACTTATAAGTATTTTATTTCAGTTGCTAATTATTATGTTACTTTAATTATTCATTATTTTAATCACTATTTTTTATTATTTTAATTATTAAGTTTTTTAATAAGTTTTTTATTATTTTAATTACTAATTAATGTTATTATTGTAATATTTATTTATTTCTTTTTATTTTATTTTTTTTTTCCTGACGGCCTTCCGTAGGCGCTTCTGACTTTTGACTTTTGTGACACCACAAAAGGAGGTGAATTATTTCTACCCAAAAATACGACGCAAAACTCCCTATCGCATAGGGCCGTATACCGATAAAATAGGCTCAGGATACGGATACCGATCGATTTTACCGAAAGTAACGAGTAACGATACGATAGTAACGAGTACTGGTTCACCGAGTAACGAATACATACGGGTACACAATTTCTCGTTACTTCTACAGCACTA